TCAGAACACAGCTCTGTGGGAGCTGCATTTACTTCAGGTTAGTAACTGAGTGAATTGGGAAGTAAAAGTCAGCAGTAAATAGCTGCTAAATGTTTATGTGCTTTACACAAATAGAGAACAGAGGTGTTCAGGCCTGTCAGTCAAATCTGACCCACATGAGCCTATTCCATACAAAGAGGAAGAGCAACACAGTGATATGGAAGAATGGGCTTATGATAATACTGGATCTTACTGCAGGTTGTTTAATAAGATTCCTTTGAGGGGTTTTTCAATTTTTCAAGCTCCTTTTGAATCCAGCCCTTGACTTCCTTGGCCCTTTCTTCCTGTTTTCTGGGAGTGGGAGTTAGAATAACTGTGGAGAGTCATGTTCACAGCATGACATACAAGTGAATAAATGTATGATTGGGTGTTCTCATTCACTGAACCCCACCAACTGAGCGATTTTGAGGTGCTTTTTTTATCTAAAACAAAAACAGAATATTCCATCTTATAGAAATGGAAATAAATGTGAGAATCTGTAGATAAATAAATTATCCCTCATCCTTGAGTCAGCTGCCTTCTTTCTTCCTTTCTTTCAGAGACATTATCATCCAATAGTGCAGAAGTTTGCAGCTCACCTTATTGCTGGAGCTCCAACTGAAGGCTCAGGAGCTCTTTCACTTGATTTCAGCCAAAGGTGAGTTATCAAAGAGATGGGTTGTTTTTAAATAGTGCTTTGAAAGGAAGCTGTTGCTTATGCTTTATTAAAGGAATTCCTAAAAATAACTATCCATAAAATTAAAAGATTCTGATCTTCAAACTCTCTTTGTTCTTCTGCCAGTACAGAATGTTGGCTGCCCTTTTTTTTTTTTTTCTTTTGATACTTGTTGCCAGGCTGTGACAAGGGTAAAAATCTCGAAGTGCTGTATGTTTTCTTCCCATGGGAGCAAAATATCTGCATTTCCTCAGCAGTAGCCCTGATGTGAATGTGGATCAGGATCACTGAACTGTGGCTGCCCAGCGTAAGGAAACCAAGTTGCAGTGTAAGGTCCATAGTATGTTAAAACATGAGAGCAGCCATGCTGGTTCAGACTGAGGGTCTAATTTAGCATCCTGTCTTTGGCAGTGGCTGGAAGCAGGTGCCTTGTGAAAAGTAAAACCAGGGCATACATATAAGGCGTGCTCTGAGGTCAGTTCAGAGAGCACCAAGGCTGTGGGTTCAATCCCTGCATAGGCCATTCTCTTAAGAGTTGGACTTGATGATCCTTGTGGATCCCTCTCAGCTCAGAATATTCTGTGATTCTGTGACATGCTCTGAGAAGTGTCCTGTCCTCTTACTGGTCTCAGCCTGGTGGATTTCCTGAACCTGATACCATTTTCTGTTAGTACCTCTCTCTTCATGGAGTTCTTTTCAAAACTGTTCAGTGTCCCATGAACCAAAGCACACATTTTGCGAATGCAGCATTGTTTGGTAAGGGTTCCATGAGTCCACAGCTCCTTAGGTTAAGACCTGCTGTCTTTTGTTTTGAACTTGGTGCCTGTATGCTTCATTTAACAGCCCCTGGCTCTTGCTCAGGGAGATGAAATCAACCTTTCATCTGTCTGCTCTACACTCTTTCTGGGCCTCACAGGCCCTCTATCTTATCATTCCTCTGTCTACTGTCTCTTATGGCTCAAGGGATCTCGCTCAGACAGCAGCTATTCCATACTTTTCCTCATCTTTGTAGCATGTTCCTGTACTTTTACCAACTTAAGCATTTCAAGATGAGGAAATTGGAGAGTCAGTTGCAATATTTGAGATGTGGATCTGTGGGTTTATACACTAATGTAACTAATTTCTGTTGTATTCTCTGTTTCTTTTCAACTCCAAACAGCATTAAGGTCACAACACTATAAAAGTATCTGTCATAACAAGAAGATTTTTTTCCTCAAGTGATAGTGGTCAGCTCAGAGCTTATTGTGTTTATGTAAAGTTGAGATTGATTTCTTTTTCCAACACTAAATTTCATTTGCCATTTTACTGATCATCCCATACAGTCTATCTGAAGTTCTTCACATGGAGCTCATTTTTACTACCACAAATAACTTGGTACTCTCCAGCTCATCCTTGAGCATGTTGGAAAGGACAGATCCTGGAACAGACCTTATGGAAATCAGTAGTTTCTCCCTGCTATTGCAGAAACTGACCACAGACTGCTGTCCTTAGTTTCTTCTCTTTTAACCACTTTTTTTCTCATATGATGGAATTCCCTGTTCTCCCACGGATGCTTAGTTTTCGTAAAACTCTTTGGTAAGGAACTGTTGGAAATTCTACCAGATTATGTCAGCTAGATAATCTTTATCCACCTTTTACTTTCCTTTATTAAATATGTACAGATTAAGCAGTAAAAGTGCTTGAAGCTCTGGCAAGCCAACTGAACAGCCTTCTTGTTTCCCCCTAATTATTTTAGACACATTTTACTTACTTGACTTGCACTGTTTCCCAGCTGTTGGCTTCTGACCTTTTCCAGGTGATTCTCATTACTCTGAGTTCTCTTTAAGTGTGGTGGAGGATGAGAGTGATGTGTGTGAGAAGCTGCCCTTAAATTGCTGATATATCAGTTGAAGATGTATCTATCTAATGCCATTTTTCTTTCACTGTGGATTTTGCTGTAGGTCTGCTACAGAACTTTTTGAGGCATACTGCATGAAAGGAATGACCTTTAATCCTCCTGTTGCATCAGTAACACCCAGAAGAAAGGTACCATATCTTGTCTCTGTGTCCTTTTTTAACCACGTGATGTACCAAAATACCCCATATCTGCTGGCTCACTGCAGTGCCCAGGCATTGGCACACTCAGTTTGGCTTTCTGGTTTCTATACTTTGCGTGTCAAGTATTTCTTTTAACTGGCGTAAGATAGGACTGACTATAAAGAAGGAAAAGTAGCTGTATAAATAGTTCCACCCTCCACAGCTTCAGTTAATGTAGCAAGATGAATATGGTAGCTGTTATTTTGCACTTTGCAGTGGTTCAGTGCAGATTTCTTGGCCCTTTTCTGTAATGATGAACTAATGTTTGTTCAAAAAGCAGTAATAAAAAACCAGCTCTTTCCCCAGTGTGGGTACTTGGCAGGACAGCTGGATTTCCAGAGCCTTTGATTCAGTATGTAGAGGGATACTGATCCCTATTAGTGTCACTGTAGCTTTAAAGTCTAAATTTGAGGGGAACAAAGAGTTCATGTATAAAATGAGAAATGGGGGAACAGTTTTTATGTCCTCAGCACTGTTCCAGATGCCAGCCTCCATTAAATGTCCAGTGAGGAGTGTCCTTTAAAAAGTCATTTTTTTCTTTCTTCCTAATGAAAACATTATAACCTTTTAACTTAGTCAGTGCTCCACTTTATAATTCAGTAATGTCAGCTGAAGCCTTGAGAGCACTTTTTTTTTCATTTTAGAGAAGCAACTTCTGAAAATGTGTTTGTACCTACTTATTCCATCATTTTACAATGATTTCTTGACGTGTCTGTCCTGCTAGGGAGTTACATTAGCACCTCTGAGAGAGCAAGGCTGGGAACAGCAGATAGGAGAGAGATTTGAGCTGTAGTGCTTGAATAAGGAAAAGCACACGCTTTTTAAGGTAGCAGAAACAAAAGAAGAGGAAAATAAGAGAGAACAAACTGTCCATAGGTGGTTATAATGGACATAACTGGGAAAATCACCCTAGGGCTTTGCCTGCTCTCTGGTTGTTGGGCTCGTTTAACATTGACAGTATCTAAGTTTTACCCTCTCTGTCCTGCATATTCTGTGTGCCACACTGACATTGTCAGCACCTCCCTGATGTTGACAGAAGCTCCAAATTGGAGCCCTGTGCACTACTAAAGATCTCCTTGAGTGCACAATGTACTTGACTGTGTGAGTGCTGAGACTTTAACAGGAAAGTTTAAATCGTGTGTGACCATAATTCCTCATCTGAGCACCAGGAAAGAGTGGAAGGCTCCGGCTCTGGCTGGAGGCAGAAGGGTCAGGGCATTCCTTTCTGACTCACAACCTCTACTGTGAGCACTGGCCTTTTAATCAGAGATGCTTGATTTATATATATAAGTGCTCTTACCAAACAGTGCCTGATTTCTGTTTCTAAGGTGCGTTGAACAGGAAGCAGTGTGTAAGCACCTCCAGAGCTGCAAGCTGTGGCTGTGTGTAGTAGGTAATATTCCAAAGACCAGTTAACCACAAAACAAAAAACCCCCACCAAAACCAAGAGCTTATGAAGGACTGACACATCATTTCCTTGCAAGAAAAGGGAAACTTACTGGCAGGCCAGGCAGGCGTGAGCTGCCAGCTCCATAGGTCTGGTCTAGATGACTGGGGACATGGGAGAGGAATAGGACTGCTAATTTAAGCTATGCATGCTGGCCTCGTTTAGTAATGCAATTAATATTTTGTATTTTTCAGGATACATTCTCACAAATGGATTCATTTGTAGATGAAGAGCTAAACAAGCAGCTTCAACGACACATCAGTGAGACTGTTGATCACAAATCCTTGGATTTTGCTAAACACTTGAAGGAAACATCTTTGTCATAAATGTACCTATTACTCAACTTCAGTTGGCTTCTTATTTGTGCAGAAAGACTGGCTGAAAAGTATTTCCACTCATCATTAAAGGAATACAAATAGGCTTTTGTTTGAACATAGAAACACACAAAAATGTAACAGCAGTTTTTCACAGAGAGTTACAAGCCTGTCCGCTTAACTACGGAGCCCGTGTTAGCAGTGCTGGGGAACCACAGTGAACAGTCACATCTCCAACTTGATATAAAACAAGGCTATTTAAAAATTGTTTGCAACTATGCATGATTGTATTTTGTTTATATATTTTCTAATTTTTATAACAGAATATAGACGTGTTTCTAAGAACTCACTGGTTCTGTTGATAAATTAATAAATATTTTGAAAATGTTAACAATATTGACTTCTTTGATGTCTAAATTACGTAGAGATTTGGAACATGTATTTTTTCTGTTGTATTATTTCTGTTTTTCTTCTGATATCTTCTGACCATTTATCTCACCTTGAAATGATTTTGCATTTGGAGGGGGTTTTCCCCTCTGGTGAATCGTGGTATTGGCAAATTGAGAATACTGAATTTCAGTTCTAAACTGTCGTCATTACTGAATGCTCTACTGCAGCATCTTCAATAAACCATTGCTGTCAAGAATGATGGACAAATACAAGGTAATATTTATCTTTTTATCTTGGAAGTAATTTTCTCCTGGTTCCCCAAATATAAGTTATTGCCTGGTTGTTTTAGAAGCCATTTTCAGCTGCTTGTTGGTTTTGCAAACAGTAAGTGAAATATTTAATTAATTAAAAGATGAGTATTATCTTTATGTGAATTCCATTCTACAGGGGAGTGTGGAGGGCTGTCCCTGGCTGACAGCTCAGCTAATGAATCTTTGTAGTGTTTAGTCTATGATGTGATAATGATATATGTGTTAAGTTTTTCAAAGCTTTCATTTAAGTCAGAAAGTAGCTTTTTCTCTTGGGTATTTAGTTCTTTATCCTGATTTATGGTTCTTAGTTTTAAAAGTAAATTTCCTTCTTTCTTTTAATACATGTTTTTAGTATTAATCACACTAATTCACCAACTTTCAAATAGTTAAACATAAATTCACTAACATTTTTAGAATAGACTTCTATGTATTAATGGATTAGAATTAGATTAGAATTAGAATTAGATTCCTATTTTACTATGTAGATTGCAAAACTGCATACATTATACTGATGTTTATAGATGTGTTTCTCTGTTTAGGTTGTGATTCCCATAGCTTTTGAATAGTTCTTTTTAGTTTTTAAGTGTTCGCAAATATGGATGTGATTTAAATTCTGAAAAATTCCAAGGGGGCCATTTGCCAATACTTTAGTCAGTTTGGGAAGGCAAAAGCAAAGAGTGAATATCTTAAACCATTTATTTTTTGTACAACATATACAAATACAGGTTTATTTTTCAAGTCAGCAGAGAGAAGATAATCCAGGTGGAAAATTTTGAAATTGTTCATTTTTCATAGTTTCCAAACATATAGAGACTGGCACATAGTGATGTTGCATTGTCAGAATACTTTGACATGCTTTAAGAGGCAAAGAAAGACAACTGTACAGCTAAGTCATTCTGAAAGAGCCTATACATCTATTGGAGCAAAAATCTATTTACTGCTATTTATTTTTGTGTTTAATTTGCTAACTCTGCCAAATGTCTATCACTATTTAAGTTGCAAAACATTTATCACAGACAGAAAAAAATGCCACCATTGGTACACTGAGTGGGCTACCCTAAAAGTAAACTGAGTTTTATAGTGGAATAGTAACTGACAGTGATTAAAAACCAAATGCTAATTAAAGCATTCAAAGAGCTAGAGCAGAGCAGACAGTTCAGTTTCAGAAGCTGCAGACTGAGCCTTTCACTGAAATGTAAAGCTACCAGCAAGGTCTTCTTTTTTGAAAATAAACTATGAATGTAAGAGAAAGCATTCCTGAACTATTTAGATATTTCCATGTTGAAGTCTTTAAATCTCGAAAGCATGTGATTTTTAGAAGCAGAGAGCTTTCTAAAAGCAGCTATTGAGACACTTCACCTTGTATTCACCTAATATTTGTAGCAAGAAAAATAATGTGGCTAGGTTTTAAAAAAAAATAAAACTGGGATAGTACTTTTTAGTCTTCTAACTGCTAAAATTTGGGATCAGTAAGATAGAAACAAGAAACCCTTCAGGCAGAAGAGGGAGTTGCTCCTGGTGTGCCCCAGTTCCTACAGGCACTGATGCAGGCAGGAGCTGGGACTGCCCACCTTTCATCCCATACCATAACAAACACCACTGCAAGCAGCATGTGCTGCACAGGGAGGATTTAAGAACTTGGTAGAAGAGTAGCAGTTCTGTAAATAGCACAGAATGAAATGCTTCTGTATTTTTGCCACTAGGCAATGGAACATGAGATTTCCACCGGTAAACTGTTCAGCGCAGTTCCTGCTACTGCTCAGAGACAGCGTTTCTGGAAGGTGTTGATTATTTACATTCCTTTCTTTCAAACTTTATCCTGGAAACTGCTTCCTGTAAATAGTTTGTAATGTAAAAATGAATGCATTTTCCTAATTGATGTCCATGCCCAGCCAGAAGCACAGAAAAGGACAAAGTTAGTTTGTCAGTCTTGTCATAGCAGGGTGTGGACAAATATTCCTGCAGAAATAAAATCCATGGCTAAGCAGAATAAATTTCCTATTAGCATAATAACTCAGCACATGGAAGCTCTTTGAGCCTTCAAAAACGTTAACCACCCCCCAGTTTAATGCTTCGGGTGGTGGTGTATTTTCACTATTAGGAAACTTGGACCCAACAAAAGGAAGGGTATTGTTATTCTTTTCCAAATTCACCCCAAAGTGTTCCATGTTTCACCAATGAAAGTTTACCTGGATATTTACCAATACCTAAATTTGAAATTAAGTTATATATGAATATTAGTGAAAATACTAAAACAGGGTAATTAGCCTTACACAATTCCAGATGTCTACTTGTCTACAAAGTTAGGGGTTTGAAATAAAAAGCTAAATACTTTGCTTTTCTCTTTCACTGTGATAAACAGCAGCAAAAGCAGCTTTTGATGAGACACTAATGAGGAAGATATTCATATTAATAAACTGTTCTCACACTAGAAAAATTCTGTATTAGCAGAAATAGTAAAAATCTGCTGATTTTAGATTGCCACCAGACTTCAGGCTAGTGTTAGACCTGTGTTAATGTGACATGGCTGCTCTTGTCTCTTGATTCCCCAAGGTTGTTTTTTTTTCTTTTTAAATCTGTGTCAGAAAAGCACTAGTGGATGACAGCATGGGTATAAGAACTTTGTATGATGAATCTAATAAATTAACAAGTGTGTGATATTTAAGTGATGGTAAGAATTTTCAGTGCTGCTAAAGATTAAAAAAACCCAACCAACCACCACCAAAAAAAAAAAAAAAAAAAAAAAAAAGCCAGGCAGGTAAGGGCAAACTACAGGAACTTAAGCATTGCTTCTAAAATGCCACAGAAACATCAAAAAGAAAAAATCCTACTGTGTTAAAATAACAGAGAGAATGAAGCTAACAAACATTTAAAAAACATTAGTTGAATTGTTCAGCAGGTTGATATAAGTATTTCCCAGTAATTCCAAAGTATTCCAAAGCAAACTGCATATAAAACTATGTGTAAGTTGTCACTTAAACATTTTACTTGGGATCAGTCTTGCCTTATGCATGTGCAGGGTTCAAGTTGGTACTGATGAGTGAAGGGGCTGAGCTGGGAGGTGGTTGGGGGTGCTGTATCAAATCAAAAGTTTACTTTTGTAAAAGATAAGCAGTGGGAAGTGCATGGCCTCTGTGAGGATATGCCACCATGAAATTTGACTTTTTTTGTATGCCTGTGGATATTTTTCCTGAAAGCTGGAAATGACCTCAAGAGGGCAGTTTTTTGCTTTGGTAATAGCTACTTTAGAGGCATTTTCTGTAGTGTATAGTGAAAGACTTCATAGTTTCTGGTGACAGAATGCAGGTTCTGTCTCCTTGTTTATATGACAGTTAATGACTTTTCTTTCTTCTATTTCATTTTCTAATTAATAGGGCAGCATTAGTCGTCATGAGACTACTGCCTGTTACTTCTTTCTCTTGTTTAGGGATTGCTCTAGTGAGACAAAACCTGTGCAGAGCAATTTGTTCACCACAGACACACCTCACGTGGGAGATCAAAGCAATTGCTGATTCCAGCAGTTGTTTAATTTGTGCCCCTGTAACTTGGTAACTAAACACATTAGTAACTCCCATGGAAATTAAAAAAAAGACTACCACAACTAACTTCCCTACATATCCAAAGATGAATTCAGCAAACGTAAAACTTCACAACAGTGTTTCTGTGTAAACAAAAATGTCAAGAGTTATAGTGTAAAAGTTCTTTATATTCTCTTTAACAGACAAGTAAACAGACGTTTCCGGCTGTATGGAAAAATGTATTTGAATTCAAAATTTTGAAATGTTAATTACATTTATCAATGCATTGTTTTGAATTTGGTCAGTTTTGGGTATTAAACATCTTGTGCTGAAAAGAAACAACCATAAAAGCTCAAACATATTTTCCTCTAAATCCAGAAAGAGGTAAAAATCTGCATTTTCTAAAAAGTAGTATACGATAAATATATTACACAATGGCATGTACTTTGGAACATGATAATAAATATATTTTCTTTAAACACAAGCCTGGAAAACGAGAATTTATAAGAAGAAAATGTTGTTTGTCAAAGTCTCACTACCAGTTAGGTGTATTTAGCTATTGTACATTACTTTGTTAAAGTAGATAAACCATAAATAATTTTGACTGTTTTGTGTATATTCACCAAAGTGAAACAGATATGCAAATGAAGTTACAGTATATTTAAATCTCTTTACAATCACTTAACACAGTGTTTAACAGAAATCTTCACGTAAAAGTGCGTTATTTTAAAATAATACACATAAAAGAACACTCTGGTTCTCTGCCTTCAGTTTCCTTAGAGGCAATAAGCTAAAATTATCTTTTGTTTAAAAAGGGGATGGTGATGACACATGTTTGTTTACAGCATACAGTCCAAGAAAACTTCTCCATCCGCCTATGGAGAATCTGCAGATGTGAAGATACGGGAAGAGCAGAATCTTCCGATAGCTGACAGGCATCTTTCCAATCTACAGTATCCCATTTAGGATTATCCCATTTACGATTCCCAGATTCTGGATGTTAATCCAGGAGCATTGCCTGGATTAGGCATCTGTAACACAGGGCACACAATTGTTGACCAGTTCAGTCCACAGCAGGATCCTTCAAAGGCGCTGCAGAAGGATTCAGTCATGTAAATTCCAGTTTTAAAAGAGAACAAATGCAGAAGAGGGAACCTGACTGGGCTTTTCCCATAATTTACTTTGCTTTCCTTGAATTCAGACATAGTAGCCAAGAAATAAAGTATCAAATTTATCCCTTCATATTTTAAATACCTTGCAAATGAAAACATTACTTGAATTCAGTAGTATGACAGTGCATGCCAAATAATGCTTTAATAATTAGGTGTATGCAGAAAGAAATAGGTAGTATTAAACTGGCCATAAGTGAGATGGGATTATCAACACTGAAAAAGATTTCTTGATTTGCAACGAGCTGTAACTTCCCAGTTGCTGTCTCAGTGCTGTAGTAGCACTGTGTGAATGTCTGGTTAGTGTATGTTGCTGGACAAGTTGCACTTACTATCTCCTTATAAATGAGACAGTCTTATGTTGTGTGTTTCATTTGTTTGAAGTCAAGCAAAATGGAAGAAACCGAAGAGATACAGAAAGGATAGTATAAATGTTTAAACATTTCTGGCAAAACTCCCACAGAGAGAAATTAACACCATAAACTTGTTGTAGCTAAAAAGGAGATGGCCAGTCCTGATGATTTTGTTACCTGCATGTAACAAAAACTAGTAAAAGCTTTACTGGTCACTTCCATTTACTTTGGCCCAGAGCAAAAGAGTAACAAAATTAATTAATTAAGCATCATTACTCATTAAAACGCATACTATAAAATCAACCAGGATGCAACATTTTAGTTTAGTGTTGTGGGTGGAACTCCAGTCTGATTCACTGGAGACCTTACTGCTATCACTGTGCCTGTGCACATCGATGGGTAAGGCTTTTATGGATCTTCCTGTCCCTTGTACCTCACCCTGGTTTAACCCTGGGGTTTTTTTGGGGAAAAAAAAAAAATCCTCTGTAAATCACATAAACGATTGCTCAGCACTAGGATGGGTGTGTCGTACCTGAACAGACTGTAGGCAGTGGGGTGACTACTCCACAATGTCGCTGAAGGTCAAGCCGCAGGCGGCCCTTTCGTCCTTGCTCTGGGGACTGTCCGACAACACCTGCAGTGGGGGCGACATGAACCCCCGATACTGCTTACTGGACTTTGTTAACTTCTTCAGCTCACTGGTAAAGGAGATGCCTTTTCTTTTGTCATCTCGTGCTGCCTGAGGAAAAAAAAAAGATAGAAGTGGTTTAACAGCTGCTTGTTAGCTGTGAAATACAGGATTAATATGAAAACACCTAACATATTGCTAAGCAAGCCTTCCTTTTGAAATTCAGTACGGTTGTGCTTTCACAGGCAAGCACATCCTACTCTTTGTTCTGAATAAATTATGTTAAAATTACGCCTTGTCAAAGATATGTTTAGCAAATTTGGTATAAACTTGTATAAAAAGATCTCTGCTTATAATACAGTTACTTTAAAGCAACAGCTGCTGTGGATTGGTGGTGTCTGCAGGAAGGCAGAACACAGCTCCTTCTCCCAGTAGGCATGTACTTCATTCCTACCATTTTCCGAAGCCTGAGATAAAGCAACAGAACAACTTTTTCACTGGGCAGGAATAAAGGGGACTTTATTCCAGTAGCTTTTAAGCTCTGCCCATTTGAATGGTCCTTTATTATGATGGAAAGTGTGGCATGCAGAGCCAGAAGATTTTGAAAAACAGAAAGCTGGTAGCAGATAAAGGTTGTCCTGGATTTGCAGGCTGTGAGGGAGTCACGTTGCTGGATGTAACTGCAGGTTTTGCAAAGGAAAAAAGTAAGGGAGGCTCAGAGAAAAGAGGAATCTGCTTTTTGCTGTAGTCTGTCTTCCCCACCTGCCCTCATGCCAGTTGTGTCTCCCTCCCATTGAAAGCAGGTTCCCATTCTGCTGAGCACACACCACCGACAACACCTGCTACAAAGTATCCCATCTTTTACCTGAACCTGTTCTTTGAGCTTCAGGATAAATTTTCCTGCTCCCTTCCACTTGCTTTGGGCCTGAAACACACACTCTTGATCAGAGAGAATCCTCTGAGATGGTTTAGATGTTGAGGACTTTTTGTTTGTTGGCTCTTTTGTCACCTCTTCCAGGAGCACATAATCACTGGGATTTGGATTGCTCAAAATGCTGTAGGAGTATTTCGCTTTGCAAAGAGTCTGTTTAAAAGCAGAGAAAAAATAAGACAAAAAAAAGAAGGCATTCCCTCAGATTCAGGTTACCAAACCTATTCCTCAGCTAGTGCTGAGACCAAACCCCCCCTTTCTATTGTGTGAAGCCAGCCTCCAGCCCCCCAGGGTAACACAGAAAGGTGCAGCTCACCTGCTGTATGACGTCCTGAGCCGTGCTGAAGCGGGGTGCCTTGATGACGGTGCGTGGTTGCTCTGGGGAGACATCGTGTACCTGAACAAAGAAACTGTCATCCTCGGAGCTGATGGCTGCTTCTTCCTTTGCTTCTTGAAAGACATTCCTCTCGTTTAAATTCTACAGAGAAAATAAATGAGAGCCAAATTCATTTACTTCAGAGAGGTAATAGCTGGTGGTCACAAAAGGTTTTGATCACGTGGAAATTGGAGACTCTGCTGTAGCCCCAGCTCCATTTCGTTAAATGCATTACAGGAGAGTTTTGACAAGCTACTACTGCTAATAAATACCCGTGTTTCTACAGTCAGTGTCTGAAATACCTTTCCTAGTAGAGGAATGGAGACATATGCATAGTCACTAAATTCTTTCTTTCCTTATGTACACAAAATTATGTTTTGTCATCTACCAGTGGCAGTAAGATGGGAGATGGTGGAAAGGGTTCTTCTCTCTCCTGTCCCTGCACTAAAGCCAAAAGTATTAGGAGAGCAAGAAGTCTGAGCAAACATTTTCCTGTGGTGTAGAGCAAGAGGAAGGATGCTTGTTTGTCCCTTTTCAGGCTCTGTGACTACTGCAGATTTTAAGACAGAATTCCTCCCTGCACCTTCTTTCAGAGAATGCATTTCTGTCCAACACCTTGGAGCATAAGCTTGAATTCATAAACTGTAAACATGGGCAGTGTTTCACACCCTCCAGTGGACCCACTCCTTGTTTTTCGAATCAGATTTGCAGTTTCATTTCTAGTTCCAAGCTCTGAGGTGCTGCTATTTGCAGAAGGGCTCAAAAATACAGATAATGCTTTGGGGTACTTGCATCACAGGACAACATTATCAGTGGTGTGCACTGATAAGGTCAGTGTTGCGGTCAATAGAATTTGATAGGTTACTATTTCAACAAGCAAATTTCTCCCTTTTAACTTTTCGTAAATTTTTTTGCCAAATGTTAGAAATAAAGGAAAACAAAATGTGGGCTTGTGTAATTTAATGGTAATTTGTCAAATTGAAGCTTTATCAAAAGTTTTATCAGAATAATCAAAAATATTTTTTTTCACTTTAAAGTATCTCAGAGGATCTCTATAATTTGTGTATGTAAAATCTGTGTACTAAGCAAGCATTTTTGTAGGCTGAACTGATCAAACAAAGTGACCAAAAATGAGATCACTAGGTGTCTTTCTCCTGTGTTTTCTGTCTCTCACAAGCCTGGGCACTAGCATATTTTCAAGATGTAGATGCCTTGCTCACACTTTAAACTGAAGTAACCAGTCCATTTTCCTCCTTTAAATTAAAAGAAATCACCTATTTAATTATTTTTGTTATAATTAATAATTTAATTATCCTTTGTGATCCTCTTAGACTTATTCTATCCTTTTAGACTTATTCTCTAATATTAAATTTTTTTCTAATTTTTCTAGACAGATAAGAAGCTGCTGATATCCAAAACGACTGATAATGGTTGTATGGAGTTCTGTTATCTATGATCCTTTGGTATTAACTATTATCTTTCTTTATATTAATTTCCTATCATGGCATAATGTAGATTTGCATTAAATTAGAACTCTCACTAAAAACTTGAGGTAGTGGCACTGAACTGGTGACTGAGTGATAAGGACTAAACATCACACAGCGAT